TTATTATACAATATATTATAGAAAAACTATTTGGACTGATTAATTATTTTTTTAAAAATTACTTAAACATACATTATGCAAGAGCAAAATCGGCCTATTGCAGGTCTTTCTTTAGGCCTGAAATGTTATAAAAACCATTAATTAACTTATCCAGACCATAATCAGCTCTCGATGTCAAGGCTTGCCTGCGATATTTGTTGGATTGCAGTCCGATTTGCTGCAAAACTTTCCTTCGTGATTAACGATTAAATGGATAATCAAGACTATTAGTTTTGTCTTATCGACTTCAGTAATGATGATCGAGGCTAAGCGGAACTTTCATCCGCTTGGTTCTCGGTTCATAGTGGATCAATTTGTCTGAAATTTTCAGCAAGTTGCCTTTACATTATGTAGTTTTTAACTATTACAGTGAGAACTGCCAACTCGTTATCCAATCTCCCATAATGTATCTTTAAAAGAAAATACACTTAATTAACTATAGTTTTGATTAATTTTTCAAGTCATACAGTGAAAATGTCAGTTTTTGTCACCACTGCCCGTCACTATAAAATTTGCCTTGATGTTATAATAATTGCTAGAAATAATAATTCATAAACAAATATCTATTAAGTGAATCAAGGATTATTTTGAGTTTGATTTTGTAGGTACTTCATGGCAGAAAAATAAGGTTGTAATTTTTTTTTAATCAAAAATGTTTTTTTATTTATATAGTCATACAGTAATGGGTAATGGTAATTAATTTCTTTCAATGTAATGGGTAATGGTAATTAATTACATTGCTAAAAATGAGATCGTAATTGTAATGATTACATTTAAAAAGTAATGGTAATGTAATTAATTACATTGGCAATGTAATGACCCCAGCCCTGATCATATGTTCAAAAAAAGGTTATATTGGGATTATTGACGACATAATTTGATTGGTTGACTTTATTTCATACGTCAAAGGCTAATCCAGAGACCATGGATGGAGGAAGGGGGGGGGGGTCTTGTGGTATGGGTGGCCTCCCCTAGAATATTTCGAAAGCTAGAAGTCCTGCAATACCAATACTAATAGGGCATAGTTATGGATTTTGATTATTTATGTAAACTTCCAGAGAAGTGGTATCATAAACACATCATGCCTCATGCACTACATAGTATGATTAGTTGACGTCATTATTATACGTCATCTGATTGACGTCGGCGATATGTTAATGTAACATGGCGTTTATAAGTGGCATACGGGCATAGCTCTGTATGCTGTTTGGTTATGTGAACTTCCACAGAAGTGGTATTAGATGTTTTAGAAAGAGTAAGCATAGTTGAATCTGGTGCCTTTGAAATAGTTAACATATCATGTCTCGTGTAATACACCCGCATAATATGTCTCTTCACAAATAGCTTACGCCACTTTTAGACGTGATATGACCTACACTACACCCAGTTCAAGACAATAACATTGCGGAGGTGTTCCGCGGTTAACTCTATACATTTTTAGCACTAAGTTTTGTTAAGTGTTTCAATATTTTGCGCGAATGACTCATGAAAATCAGTATTGTGTCGGAACATTAAACGATTATTACCACCGAATAGTACATTCATTGTTTAATGTTCGCGTGTCACCTACTTCCTGTAGGCTATTGGTGTAAACTACTTCTAACGTTTTACTCGAATATCTCTTAAAAACTATGTATTGTTTTGCCCGAATAACTCACGAAATATTCAATTGATTTTACTTGCTAACTGTTTAAATGTCACCGTCTATAATTAATATCATTCAATAGTCTCGCATTGTGTACTTAGATCGGGTCGTTGATAAACCTATTCTTACCTATTGTCCTATTGTATGTTCGTATATGTACGTATAGTTTGTAAAGGTGAAAATATAGGTGGGCTAATCCCTAATTGGACGTGACCTTAGGCCAAATATGATTCAAACAGTTACTTCGCATATCGTCGTTTTTAATGGCCGTAACGGTCTCTAACCGTAAAACGCACTACTTCTGGGGGCTTGGTTTGCCGAATGGTTAGCACGTGCGCGCTGTATCATGAGATCTGTTATGGCGTCAACTGGCGTGGTTTCGATTCCCCGGTTGTACGTGACAAGGAATAGGGTCGCCTGTCCAACCTCGTGGGTTTTCTCCGTGACCTCCGGTTTCCTCCCACTACTACAGACCCCTACGCGCAAGCGAATTATTAAAATAAAATTGAACCATGTGTTATTCCCCAAATGACCTAGTTTGTGTCGAGTGGGCGTTAAACCATCTCTCTCTCTCTTTCTCTCTCCCTCCCTCTCTCACTACGAGAGTTAAAGAATTAAAACTAAGAATATGATTTCACCCAACGAACCTTTGCGAATTTTGTGCTAAATAAATGACGCGATGAAATGTCAATACTCCTTTCAAACAGGCGACAGAACCATTAAAGGAGTTACACACAATTGATTTATTCAAACGCGAGCTCGATAATTAAACTCTTTCACCTGTCTGACAGCCGAGGTCTTGACGGACATCGAGACGAATTCTTGCTTTGTTGATCAGTTGTTGAAATTATACAATTATATTTTCTAATTATGAACACCATTAACAAAAACATTCCATGCCATTCACAGACTAATTAATTAATGGACCTGCCTGGTGCTTGACCAATCCCTAAATTTTGGCATGCGCAGAAGATTCGGCAATCTAATTCGTAAATGATGCCAACCAGTGATCGCTTGCACATAAAGAACGAGGGAAACTGCCATGCCATGACACGTTATAGCTGGGGACACACTGGAAGAATTTCTCCCCGAATCATTTGGCCGAGTAAATCGTCGCCGAATTACAGCTGAATTCTTTCGGCCGGTTGAGTGGACAAACTCCACCAGTCGATTGCACCACCCTTCACATAAGTCACGTGATTAAACATGGCAGCGACCAAGAAAAAGAAATGAAATGAAATCGGGTTTAACGTCCTACTGTTCTGCTCCGAACTGGGCTAATGAAGACGGGCATACGCCATACAGGCTCATGGCCTACTCTTATATCGAATTCTAACTGTCCAGGGATCTTTTACGTGCACGCCAATGTGTACACGGGACCTCGGTTTTTCGGGGAATGACGTCGGAAAATCTGCAGGATGAATTTTCTCTGCCAATGCAAGGATCGAACATACGACCTCCACCCTAGTGAGCCAGCGTCTTACCCGCTTAATCACCGTGACCCCACAAAGAAAAAAATAGCTGCAGCTGCGGGGATTTTTTTAAAATTTTACACCGTATTCGTAAAGTGGTGGGAGAATAGGAGTGACAGGACGAACACCATTATAAGTTCCGATTATTTCTCAGAATTCCACATCAGTGATTGGCTAAGAAATTCTACAGTTGGGCGATGTCTACGACGAACAGGACACGCTAGGCGAATAAAAACGTGGCGATGAATATTCGGTCGAAAATACCAAACACGTTTGATTTGAAAGATTCATTCGGACGAATGCAAATTCGGCATCGGGACGCCGGAAACACTAGACGAAATTCGGCGCCGATTGATTCGGCCGAATGATTCGTCTGGTGTGTCTATCGCTTTTTCCATGTTCCCGATTCCCTCTGCTGTCACCGTAGCCGGTAATAGGTTGGGATCAAAATTCCTCCATAGCATACTCTCAGTAATGTGTATGCCGTCCTTGATACAAAAACGGGACGTTTAACCCAATTCCATTTAATGTTATTATTAAAGTTAAAATGGACCCCGGTTCGGTGATAACTGTGTAATGTCCTGTCCTGTAGAAAACTGTCAATATTACCACTGACTACAATCATGGTAATCATCTCAAACAAATGAATGAAGTTTATAGACACGCGTGGGAATCCAGAGAGCAATCACCGGACCACGTCAAATATCTTGATCTAATAATAAAACAACCTCTCTCTCTCCCTCTCTCTCTCTCTCTCTCTCTCTCCAATAATAGGTGTAAGAAAAAATAATAACAATAGCAAACGATGATAATAACCATTGCGTTGGTTAGCGAAAACTCTCAATGAATAATCAAACCGGAAAAAAACATAATTATGTTCTCTTCGTCATTGGAAAAATAAAAAAAAACAACTAAGATAAAAAAAAATCTATTATCACACCTGTTGGAAATAGTTAAGTACGGTTCTCCATAGTTAAACGTCCTAATTATTCGTACCAACCCGGCTATTGAAGACAATTTGTCCGGACAGGTGTCTGTACTAACCGGGTTAATGAAGACAATTTGCCCGAACAGATGTCTGTACTAACCGGGTTAATAAAGACAATTTACCCGGACAGGTGTCGGTACTAACCGAGTTAATGAAGACAATTTGCCCCGACAGGTGTCTGTACCAACAGAGTTAAAGAAGACAATTTGCCCGAACATGTGTCTGTAATAACCGAGTTAACGTAGACAATTTCCCCGGACCGAATTAATGAAGACAATTTGCCCCAACAGTTGTCTGTACCAAAAGAGCTAACGAAGACAATTTCCCCCGACGGATGTCTGTACTGACAGAGTTAATGAAGACAATTTGCCCGAACAGTGGCTTTTCAGCCTACTATCCACGAATTCCGGCTGTCATGGGTTTTTGTAGGACCAAAATCAAAATAAAACGAGAACTGTGTGTGTGTGTGGAGGGTGTGTATGTGTAGGACCGATGTGGACCAGGGGTTGGGGAGGATGGGAGGTCTAGATGTGTACACGTCACGTTGCCACACCAAACTAAGATGTGGGTAAGTCTACTTGGAATCAAGAGTTGGTTTTATGACGAAGTGTGTCTATTTGTATCGCCTAATCAAATCTCTACCCGCTTACAGTCCGATTCTTTGATCTGGTGTCTTCCCTAACATTTCGGACAGTTGATTAAATGTTTTAAACGAAACACTGCGATGAGAATGCATAACTCGGACTGTGGCCCATTTGATATTTTCAACTATGATACAAAGATGGACTGAGAATAAATACTCTGTTTGGGAATGGGAAGCGAATCTTAAAAACTAAAATTGTAAGCAAAGCCTTACCTGAGGCCGTTTCAGACCACGTGACATCACTATTGGCAACCAAAATCAAAACAATTAACATGGCGGCTGCCATAACTGGTAGAGTGAAGTCCAGTTCCAATATAATAGTTTGTATAGTGGATTTCAAAATTCGCGGTCTACATCCAGTCCATGTTAAGCATAAATTACTTTACAGTCTAAGTTAACTCAACAACACAAATACTTCTTGTCATTATGCGCCATTGGTTTTAATTTAATCTTTCTTGTGCGTTTTACCATTTAGTTAGATTCGTCTGAAATATGTCGCTCACATTAGCTTTAATGGATGTCATTGGTTTCTAGAACATCGATAGTTACACTTCCTGTTTTCTTAGGAGTTCGCATAGTGAATATTAATTTCCGTGATGTTGGCAGAACTTGATAATTGAAGTCAAATAATTATAAATCCAACACCAGCGCGAAGATGTTTGATATATCTCGAGGAGAGGCTTTAGCCTAGACAGGGGAGATAACCCATCGAAGGACTCGATACGAATAGTAGTATTGGTTCCCAATCATGCATCCTGAAGAATAAAATAAAATAAAATAAGCCTATGAATAGGCAACATAAAATACGTTAAAAAAAACTTGACTTGGTTTACATTAAAGGACAATATTGGTGCCAGTCATTTTCACATGCTGAATGGTTAGCGTGCGCGCGCTGTGTCATAAAGTCTGTCATTGAGTCAACTGGCGTGGTTTCGAATCCCCGGTTGTACGTGGCAAGGAGTAGGGTCGCCTGTCCAACCTCGTGGGTTTTCTCCGGGTCCTCCGGTTTCCTCCCACTGCTAAAGACCCCTACGCGCAAGCGAATTATGTAAATAAAATTAAACCATATGTTAGTCCCGAAATGACCTAGTTTGTGTCGAGTGGACGTTAAACCCCATTTCTCTCTCTCTCATTATCACATATGTATTAGAGCTGGTTAAACACATTCCAAATATACTTTTAACACAGAGATCATTGCTACGATAGCTGAGTAATACAGGTTTCCCGAATCGGAAGTGACGAACGCCAAAGGAAAACACGAGTCACCGCTCTATATAACTGACTGAAGCGACAAGTGATAACAGATACACGGCCGAATTTCTGCTCACTAATAATTCCTTCGAAGACTCGTGTTTTCCTTTGGCGTTCGTCACTTCCGATTCGGGAAACCTGTATTACTCAGCTATTGTAGCAATGATCTCTGTGTTAAAAGTATATTTGGAATGTGTTTAACCAGCTCTATCACATATGTGATAATGACTGGCACCAATATTGTCCTTTAAGATGTCTTGTGGCTGTATAGTTGAATGTCAGAGAAGACTAACGTATAGCGAAATTCTATCTGCAATTCCGAACGAGTTCACGTCTGTATATTCCAAACTTAGAATGCTGGACTGTCAGCCTAAAGCTTTTCGAATTGACTGAATTCCAACCGAGTGAGGGAATATAGTCCTGCTAACCATCTCTTAATGGGCGTGGATGTAATTATCAATAATAACCACAAACAATATTGCTTATCAAGGTGTTAATTAACAATTTTCAGGAATATAATGGACGTGGTTAGACAATGGCTGCCACATTTGTTTAATTATTTATATATTTATAATAATATTTATGTAATAACTTTGTCACCATGCTTAGATGTAAACATTTCGGGGCCTGTTTCACGAAATTTTTAACTAAGATAAAATCCAAATTTTAGTAATTTGATTGGATAATATTAGATTGATTTTAGTGCTTGGCCAATCAAAACTGAAGTATTTTCTAAAATTGGATTTTTATCTTTAGTTAAAATTTCGAGAAACAGGGGTCTGAACATCATTTCTTTGATGATGGTCTGTGAATGGAAATAAAGACTGAATGGAAATCAATTGTTCATTCATTCATTCATTCATTCATTCATTCATTCATTTATTTATTTATTTATTTATTTATTTATTTATTTATCTATCTATTTATCTATTTAATTTTTTATTTTTTTATTTACTTATTTTTATTTATATATCTATCTATATCTTTTACTTACTTGTTTTTATCCATGTATTTATTTACTTATTTATTTGCTTTTTTATTTATTTATTGATCAAATGTCATTTTGGAATCGTGTTAAATTAGGCAGTTGATTATATATGGCTATCTAATTATCACTAATAATAAAGACTATTACGTTGATTACTAATCACTGGGTGTTAATTAACAATTTTAAGGATTGATGTGTTAGCCAATGGCTGCCAAATTTATTTATTTGTTTATGTTCCGTTATTCCACAAAAAATCCATTCTTTAGACGTCTTTTTCTAGATAACTGCGATACATAACCATCGAATCGCCGGTTGTACGTGACAAGGAGTAGGGTCGCCTTTCCAACCTCGTGGGTTTCCGGTTTCCTCCCACTGCTAAAGACCCCTACGCGCAAGCGAATTGTTGAAATAAAATTAAACAACATGTTAGTCCCGAAATAGCATAGCCTGTGTCGAGTGTACGTTAAACCCCATTTACCCCCCTCTCTCTCTCTCTCTCTCTCTCTCTCTCTCTCGCTAAATCAAGTAACGACAACTAGCCCTCTTACCTTGAAGTAGTGACATTTCCTATCCCGTGTACAACTCGTAGCATATTTGGTCAATATGGGCGGTGATAGCTCCCATTAAATCATAAATTTAAATGTACACAGCATAAATGATAACAAATGCACATAGGCATGAATGAATTGTCTAATCATCCGTTCCCGTACGTTTCCGTAACAACCTGTTAAAACTACTCTACCGTAAGCGTGCTAAATTCATTACTCAACCTGAGTGAATTTAATATTCCACTGACTGTAGCATGTTAGTCAATCAAACGTCGCGCCTGTATCAATATTGGTTTATGAGATTCAGCCTAGAGGATAACCGATTTCTCTTTCTCTCTGTTCATTGAGATAAATAATAAATACTCAAGCGATAGGCTATAATAATAACTGCACAATAACATCATCTAGACAGCATCTAATCGCAATAGAAAATGTACGAGGTAGTTAATTGCTTTATTCTTCACGTGTTTTCGGGATAAAGAGGGTTTAACGTCCACTCGACACAAACTAGGTAATTTCGTGACTAAGACATGGTTCAATTTTATTTCAATAATTCGGTTGCGCAAGCGAATTATTTTGAATTGAACCATGTGTTAGTCCCGAAATTACCTAGTTTGTGCCGAGTGGACGTTAAACCCCACCTCTCTCCCTCTCTCTATGACTCAGCTTCTGGTCGACAATCGCGTTTGATGTGCGCTCTTGAAAAATTGAACACATTTGTTGAGTGCTGTTGAATGTGTGTGTTTAACGTTCACTCGACTCAAACTAGGTAATTTCGTGACTAAATCGTACATAATGAATCTTTAACCTTCAATCTATGCCAACAAATTGATGACGAACGAAACGAAATAAATACCTTATCGTCATTAGACTGGTGGTGGTTGGAGGGGGATGAATGGCAGAATGGTTAGAGCGTGCGCGTTGCATCAAAAGGTCGCTCATTGAGTCAACTGGGGTAGTTTGGATTCCACGGTAGTGCGTGACAAGGAGTAGTGTCGCCTGTCTATCCTCGTGTTTTTTTCTCCGATTTCCTCCCACTGCTAAAGACCCCTACGCGCAAGCGAATTATTGAAATAAAATTGAACCACGTGTTAGTTCCGAAATGACTTAGCTTGTGTAGAGTGGACGTTAAACCCCATTCCTCTCTCTAATTATGGGCTCTCTCTCTCTCTCTCTCTCTCTCTTTCTCACACACACACACACACACACACACATTATACTGACATTGTTACTGATAAGCCCTTCCTCAGATGGGCGGTCTATGAAACCCCGATGAAAACATGATTCACGCTTGGCTAGGAAAATAATATACATATTATAAACCGAATTGCATCTTAACAATTTTATCGAACCACTTTCTCTTTTGTTTGGAGCTGAAAAGGAAATTCCCACAAATTTCAAAAGACATTCCCTTGACAGCTGGCATTCGAAAAATAATAACAAACCATTTGTAAGTAACACGTCACCATAGTGACAAAAATAATCATTTCAAATAATAAACATTTTATTAATTACACCTTGTACATTTATTATGAATGTCTTCCGCCTTGATTTTCAATATGCTTCTCGGCTTATCTGGGGAGCCACGGTGGCTAAGTGAGTAAGACACTGACTCACTAGCCTGGAGGTCGCATGTTCAATCCCTGCATTGGCCGAGAAAGTTCATCGTGATTTTCCGACGTGGTTTCCCCTTGTCAGTGGTGCCTGACGGAGGGCCTGGCAAGAACAGCTGTCTGGTCGTTCGGATGGGTCGAAAAACCGAGGTCTCATGTATATATTGCCATGCACGTAAAAGATCCCTTGGCAGTTGGAATTCGATATAAGAGTAGGCCACAGTGCTGCTGCCCGGGTAAGCTTTCCCTCATAGCACACTGTATGGCGTAAGCCCGTCTTCATTATCTCGGTCGGAGCAGAACAGTTGGACGTTAAACCCCATTTCATTTCATTTGGGACTTATTTCTACATACCAACAAACATCTCCATATATTAAAGATACATTATTCCAGGGCTTGATTTTCCTATTGCATGTCAGACCTTAATTGTTTTATAAATTATTAATTAGACATTTATTAACATGACGAGACCATAATCAACTCTCGATGCCATCGGATGCTCGAGATCTTAACTAGATTGTAACGGTTCCACCATTTAATGATTTAATTTAAAAATGGAAAAACGTGGCTAAGACTCAAATATATCAGTACCGTGGTTACTAAAATAAACAAAAGATGCACGCATCTTGTCCTAATTACTGATAGTGATAACTTAGCTCAGAATAAAGTAATTTGAATGAAATTTTCAATATATTCAGTTTGCATTATCTATTTTTGAACTATTATAGCAAGAATGGTCATCTCTTTATATATATATATATATATACATATGTTAATCTGATCTAGCATTAAATAAAATAAATTGAAAGTAGTCTATTTTTAGTAATTAGGTTATTATTTGATAGCTACATATTTCTTTGGACAAACAAAAGAGGGCTTCATCGCTTCTAAATCATGTAATCATGAATGTGCCATTAAAATAGCTAATGCTCGTATAGTCAAAGAGCGATAGACAAATACTTTCCGTTGAAGCATTATACGGTAACTGGAATTTCGTATTTTGACTTTTAAATACCCCCTCCCTTCACTAAATAGAGTTCAGACGATCCAAATTATATCTACGTAAATATGAATATGTCAGAAAGTATTTTACAATTTTGAAAATGTATTCGAAATTTTTTAATGGTATGCATCCTGATATCTTGTATTTTGTGTTATGACCCGTATTTTGACGTTAAATGCCCCCACCCCTCCTCATTTAATACATGTTAGTGCCATTTCAAATCTGTTTCTTTTTTCAAGGTATGTAATTACAAATGTGCAAGAAAATAATTTACATTTTATAGCAAACAATAAACATACTTTCAGCTGTATATGAACAATATCGAGAATTTCTTAT